AGAATCGATGCTAGTAACCCCTTGGCTGATAAGTATGTATTTGATAGAATGTTCGTGAGAAGCAAGGACAAAATTCCACCCGATGATGTGTTTGGCCATATGAAGGTGAGTTCGGATACAAGGCAGGTTAATTATAAAATGAAGGAGTCACTTGGCAGCAGATATTTTCATGGTCAACATCGCGGAGTTCCTTCTTCGTGTGGTGACCCAGGCTGAGCTATCACTACGGTCAAGCTAAAGACCTTATAAACAAGCGCTAAATGGGAGGCAACCCGTTCCCGATCTTTTACTTGATTCATTTGCCTTTTTATTTTACTTGTAGATTTTTTCTATTTATGTTTTCATTATTTATTTATTTATTTATTTACTTTTTATTTTTCTCTCTTAATGCAGGTAATAAAAATATTTAAAAAAAAAAAGTGAACTGCAGTCTACTTAATAGGCACGTCCGTGCCTCATACTGAAGAAGTGAAGTGAAGACTCTGCCATAGAGGCACGTCCGTGTCTCTCTGGGGCACATCCGTGCCTCAGCCCAGATGTAGCCCCTCCCACAGAGGCACGTCTGTGCCACGTAGGGGCACGTCCGTGCCTCCCTGGTAATAAGAAAGCACGCTTGTGCTCGTGCCCGTGCCCATTCTTCCCCTTCTCCTCCGTCTCCACGCATCCCCCTTCTCCTCTCAAGCTCCAAAACCTTCAATCTCCATCATTAACCACTCTCAACTTTATCAAAATTCACATTTTCTCATCTTTTCTACTCCACCTAGACACACCATTATCATCATAAGCACAATTAAACCCCAATTGTCAAAAATTCTTCAAACCCTAGGTTTTGAAATCAAATTGGGGGTTTTCATTTGTGGTTATTTTGAAGCAATTGGGTGACCAAGATACCTTCCTACAGTGTTTCAAGTTGCAATAGTTGATCATTTGCGGGTATTTGACACCCACCACACCTTGGGTATACTCTCTCCACATATACACTTTTCTCTCTATGTTTTCCACACTTAATTTGTAAAAAAAATTCTTCATAAAATTTCTTGAGTAAGTTGTTTGTGATTAAGCTTTGCCTATTTTTCCATTGGATGAACTTGTTTGAATATTGGTGACTAGTGAAGTTTGTGGAGTCATTGTTGAATTTTGTTGAATATTGAGGAAGATTGCGGAGTCCTTACTTTTGTGGTGGTATATTTGGTTGATTCTTGTGCTTGAATTGCAAATTTTGTTGTGGTGTTGTGAATCATGGCTTCTTCTTCTAACCCTAGACGAAATCGCCCAAGGAACACATCCACATCGGATCTAAGAAACGAACCCCCACCACAAACCAACCGCCCAACTCCCTCCCATAGAAACCTACGGAATAAACTTTGGAAACAATGAAGAACACATGAAAAACTTTTTAAGAATCCGAACACGATCCATTGTCCCTACTAGGTTTTATGACCAAGAAGCCATTGCAACTTTGGGGATGGGTAATGAAATCCCTAGGTTTTTTAGCCGTTTGGGGTGGAATGAATTCCTCACGAAACATGCCTCCACATATTCTAACATCACATACGAGTTCCTATCGACCTTAGCCGTCCATCGTAGATCATATGGACACACACCTAGGGATATCTCATTTAATTGTTTTAGAGAGTGCCACACCCTTACAGTGAGGGAAGTCAATGTATTTCTAAGTTTCCCCACATACGGACAGTTAGGCAAACCCAACCACGATAGGTTAGATGGATATAGTGATCTCGATACGTGGCGGAACCTAACCGGGCTAGATAACTATGATCCTAGACACTCAAAATCCGCCTATATTATCCACCCAGCCATTCGTCTTATCTGCAGACTCTTCTCATGGAACCTATTTGCTAGATCGAACACGGGGGGAGTTTTCTCAGCTAAGGAACTCTATTTTTTGTGGCATTTGCTAGACCACCCCGACCCTTCTAAACATGAGGAGTCAATTAACCCGGGGGCATGGTTTATTGAGCATCTATATCATGTAGCTATGGGGAGTGGGGATATTGCTATTGGAGGTATGATTACTCTGCTTGTTAGTGGTTAAATTACTGACTTCGCAGATTTGGAAGAGTACAAGGTAGCCGACCCCACCCTCCTGAACTTTCTAGGGCTGCAGCAAATGAATTGGGTGAGGAGACACCGTCGGGGTCAAGGCTACGAATGGTTTGTCGGTCGACCCACTCTACCCCGACCCGTTCCCTATGCATTTCTCCTGAAGGTAGGGATTCCTCCGGTTGCTGGAAGGGATACTTGGATTATCCCCCCCTAATTTCATTTGGCCACCTCAGCATCTAGAGGGTGTCCCATTGCCTGCGGGGGAGGGCCAAACACATATGGAGGAGGATATCCCCGAGCCAGGGAAGCAAGCCCCACCTAGCTTGGAGGAGCAGGTTGCCTCCATGAGGACCGATTTGACCCATGTCATGCATGGAATGGGAGAGTTGAGGAGAGATGACTGTGACACTCAGAAGGCGGTCACGAACTTATCGATGTCCCATGACAGCATGGCGACAACATTTGGTGATTTGCGACACCAGATCGCCGCCTTTCAGGCTGAGTTCTATGACATCCGGGGCATGATGCGTCAGCACTTTCAGGGCGGTCCTAGCTCCGCCCCGAGGTATGGTTTTCCCCCTACCCCTCCTGATCCGTTAATTTTTTTCCCTCTTCCATTCTCCATTTACACTGTTTTATGCATACATTAAGGACAATGTATGGTTTAGCTTGGGGGAGGAATCACTTTTCACCATGTATATATTATTTCTTTTTTAGTATTTAGTTAGTTTCTTTCTTATTAGTGTTGTTGATATGCCATCAGATGCCTATGCTTCTATGATAATGATCATACAAGTGCACTTTGTGAAAAGAGTTTTCGAAAACCCATTTACCAATTTGCTTGGAATTGAGTAGGTTTGTGGCTAGGATAGTCTCCCCGCTCTACTTATGTGAATAGTTTGTGTACCTGGTGAGATCTTTGTGCAATATTTGACTGATTTCATTCTAACTTAGTCGTATTTTTTCGTGTGTGATTAGTTGTCCTTCATATAATTGAATTCTTGGTCTTGCTCTTTAACTGTTTGAGACTTGAATGATGCATGTTGCGGAAAAATGATTGGAATTTCCTTTGTAGAGAATAAAGCCCCAACATTCTAGGCCCATACAAATTTTATTTTTATTTTTACATTCACCCGTAGGTTTAGCCATTTTAAGCCGTGTTTTCCATCTTCTTGATACCCTACGTTTAAAGCCATAGAGCTATTTTCCTAGGTTTATTTTGAAGGAGCATTACACTTGTTAAAGCCCTATAAGTGATTTCAAAAAAAAAAATTGAAAAAGAAAAAGAGAAGAGAAAGAAAGAAGGGAGTTGATGTTATTAGAAAGAAGGAAGGAAGTAAAGAAAAGAAAAAGAGGTTTTGAAATTTCATATACATATTCCTCAAAATAAAGAGGAGTTATAAAAGTCTTCCTAAATCCTAAATTGCTATAAATCCCTTCTTTTTGCAAGTTTATGAAAGAAAAAAAAGAGTATGATTGAAAAAAAAAGAAGAAAAAAAAAAACAATCCCATTTGCATGTACCCGGTGTAACATATTTTTACTGTACATCGGGTATTCGCACGTGCTTTTTTTTTAAAAAAAAATCGCAGAATTTCAAATACCTAAAAATAAAAAAAAACGCAGAACAACAATGGAGGAGAGAGAAAGTGAGAAAACGCAGCTATCAATCATCCATTGAGGAGAGAGAAAGTGAGAAATCGCAAAAATTGCAGAAAACAGTCATCAATCGAGGAGAAAAAAGGTTAGAAAACGCAAAAATTGCAGAAATCGATCATCAATCGAGGAGAAAAAAGGTGAGAAAACGCACAAATAGAAGAATTCGATCATCAATTAAGGACAAAGAAAGTGAGAAAACTTACAAATTGCAGAATTCGATCATCAATGGAGAATTCGACTTTCGATACAACAAATTGCAGCAATCTCATTCACGAATTGCTACAAAAACAGAGGCAAATTGAGACTGAATTTGAAATCGATTTAAATCGATCGAATATAGAAGAAGAAGAAACTAATTGTTTTGGGGATGAATTCGTACCAATATTCAACAATCCAGGCAATGCAGATGAAGCAATCAATAATGCAGATGAAGCAATTGAGAATGCAGAAGACGCAATTGACAATGCAGAAAATCAAGTGGTTCCTGATAAATCAATTGATTCAAATTCATAACAAACAACCAAATCAGATGCAACTGAAGGTAATTTCTATGAATTTTTGAGATTGTATGCAAAAAGTAACCCTTTGAATACATAATTGTTACCCTTTTCATGCATAAACGTGACCATACTTATGCCTAAATGTTACCCTCAGATTGAATGCAGAACTTTTTAGATTGCATGCAAAAAGTAACCCTTTGAATGCCTAAATGTTACCCTTTTCATGCTTAAAAGTGACCCTATTTATGCTCAAATGTTACACTTAGATTGTATGCTGAAAATTCAAATTGTATGCAAAAAGTAACCCTTTGAATGCCTAAATGTTACCTTTTTCATGCATAAAAGTTACCCTATTTAAGCTCAAATGTTACACTCAGATTGTATGCTGAAAATTCAGGTTGTATGCAAAAAGTAACCCTTTCAATGCCTAAATGTTACCTTTTTCATGCATAAAAGTTACCCTATTTTCAAACGAATGTTACCCTTTTTTTTATGCTGTCTGTGGTTATTATCTGATTTGTTTGTATTAAATAACATATACATATCCAATTGATGCTTATGGTTTAGATCTTAGAAGATCATTTGTTGGTGTGGTAATAGAAACTTTTGATGAAATTTTGGAATTGTATGAAAAACATGCTGCTATACTGGGGTTTTCAATAAGAAAACATACAACTAGATTCAAACAACACACAAAAATAGTAACTGAGAAAAATTATGTGTGTTCTGCTGAGGGAAAGAGACATTCATGTCAGAAGAAAACAAAGTTAGTTGAAATGGTTGATGAAGAGGATATAAATGTAAAAACAAGAAAGCCAAGACAAGTATCCATTACAAGATCAAATTGCAAGGCATGCATAAGAGTAAAAGTGAATAAAGAAGGAAAGTTTGAGGTGGTGGCTCATGTTATTCAGCATAACCACGAGCTAACAAAGCCACAGTGGCATTATTTGCATCGTTCTGAAAGAAAAATGACAGAGGAAAAAGTTGTAACAATCAAAACAATGAAATCTTCAGGTCTAACTACAATGGACACTTACAATTACATGGCTATAGAGGCTAGAGGAGAACAGAATATAAGCCATAGTGTTGTAGATCACCTGAATTTCTGCTCAAGGTTAAGAATGGAACAAATTGAGGCTAGAGATGCTCAAACTTTAGTGAACATTTTAAGTCAGGAACAATCAGAGGATCCAAACTTCTTTTTTAGAGTGAAGTTTGACAAAGAAGGAAGAATTTGCAATATATTTTGGAGAGATTCAATGATGCTAGAAGACTATAGGATATATGGAGATGTTCTTGTCTTTGATACAACATACAGAACCAACAGATATAATCTTATATGTGCTCCATTTGTTGGCATAAATAACCACTAGCTTAATTGTATGTTTGCTTGTGCTTTTATTGGGGATGAAACGACAGATTCATTTGTGTGGTTACTACAAACCTTCTTCAAAGCTATGGAGGAAAGAAAACCAACTTCAATATTCACTGACCAGGACCAAGCAATGGCAAATGCTATACTAGAGGTAAAAGATTTATATTGACATCTTACAGATTTGAGCTATGACAATAAAGTTTTCCTTTTTCACATAAAGTTACCCTTTTAGCTGCATAAAGTTACCCTTTTTAGTGCATAAAGTAACCCTTTTAACAGCATTAAGTGACCCCTTTATTTTCAATGCAGGTGATTCCTAATACAAGACATAGACTTTGTATATGGCATTTGGAGCAAAATGTCAGAACCAGATTTGGAGCTCTTAAAAAAGACAAAGAATTCAAATTTGCATTCAACCAGTGCTTAAAGATGTGTGTGATAAAACAAGAATTCGAAGCAAAGTGGCAAGCAATGTGGCAAAAATATGAGTTGACAGAACACTCTTGGTACAAAAGAGTGTATGAGTTGAAAGACAAATGGTGTCCTGCCCTTTGTAGAGATTTCTTTTCAGCAGGGATCTTATCGTCACAAAGGAGTGAAAGCACTAATCATGCCATAGGATTCAGAGCAAGTAAAGCAACTACTTTGAAAGAATTTTATACCATATTTAAGAAGACAACTAATCGTTGGAGAAGCACAGAGAAATATGATGAGTTTACCTGTAGCAAGTCAATAGCATTCACTTCATTGCCTCTATCTAGAATGCTAAAGCATGCCGCACAGGTAAAAAGTTAACTGACAAGTACATAAATTACACCTAATATATGGCAATTTAAATGAAGCTACATGATTTTGATGTACAGGTTTTCACTTTATCACTCTTTAGAAATTTTGAAGAGGAGTTTGGATACTCTATGGCAACAACTGTTCAGATGTTAGGCAGTAATGAAGAATGCCTACTTTATCAAGTAACACTAGAAGACAAGCCATGGTCTGCACATCAAGTAAACTATATACAAGATAGGCTAACTATATGGTGTACTTGCAAAAACTTTGAAGCATCTGGATGGTTATGTTATCATTGCATCAGAATTCTACATTTGCATTTAGTAACAAGAATACCAGACAAGTATGTTTCAAAAAGATGGACTAAGTTTGCAAAAACAGAGGCATGGGATAGGTTGAAGAATCAGGATCCTAAACAACAATATATTCCATGGAGGCAAACAATGATGAGGAAATACTACAATCTAATCTTAAAAAGTCAAGAAAATGAAGAGACAAGAGCATTTATGGAAGAAAGCTTCAGAAACAGTCTTAAAATGGTGGAAGACTTACTTGCTAGTGCTGCTCAGAAAGAAAGTGCAGAAGCTGCTTCTAACATTCCTGATGTGGCAGACAACACTCAAAGCAATACTGACGCTTCTTCAGCATCGAGTACAAGCACATGTGTACCAATAATTCTTGATCCTAAAAGGGCTGTAAAAAAAGGAAGAAGCAAGAGAACAAAAGGAGGACTTGAAAAAAGCAAGAGAAAAAGAAAACCAGCACTGCCACCTCCAAATTCAGAATTTGGATCAAAGACACCTAACTTACGACTCTTTTAAGATCTTTTTAAGAACATTTTTTTTTCGAAATTAATATACCTTGTATTGTTAAACTATTTTTCTTTTTTTTTTACTCTATGACTAGTTTAATGAAAATGTGATTGACACTTTTATTAGCACATGTTTAATTATTGGAACACATCAACTTATGTTACCCTTTTAACGTATAAAAGTAACCCTTTTCATGCATAAAAGTAACCCTTTTCATGCATAAAAGTGACCCTTTTCATGCATAAAAGTTATCCTTTCTATCCACTAAATCAACCTTTTCTTTGGCAATAGTTACCCTTTCTGTTAATAAAAGTTAACCCTTTTATCATTAAAAGTTACCCTTTCCATGCATAAAAGTTACACTATCTACCCACAAAAGTATACCTTATCATGTATAAACTTATTATTTCTACCCACAAGAGTAACCATTTTTATGCTACAAAGTAAACCTTTTTATGCATGAAAGTGACCCTTTTCATGCATAAAAGTTATCCTTTCTATCCACTAAATCAACCTTTTCTTTTCTAATAGTTACCCATTCTGTTAATAAAAGTTACCCTTTTTATCACTAAAAGTTATCCTTTTCATGCATAAAACCCCTGACCCTTTTATTTTACAGAAAAAAGTGTCCCTTTTCATGAATAGAACTGACCCTTTTTCTACATAAAAGTGACCCTTTTCATTGCTAAAATTACCATTTCTAACAATAAAATCTACCTTTTTCTTGCTTAAAAGTTACCCTTTCTATAAATAATAGTTACCCTTTTCTGCATAAAAGTTACCCCATAAAAAACATAAAAATAAACCTTTTAATTACTTTATGTATTCACATACATCAGTATTCCAAAAACAACTAAAGACTTTAAACTAAGTTTAATTACATCATTAAACTTAATGTATGCACATACATTAAGTTTTTTCATTGTTAAAAAAACCCCCTGAACTAATCAGCTAACAACTATGAATTATTTCACTATTTAGAAGGAGTAAACTTTTTTGCCTGCTTTTTTGCCGTTTTTCCTTTGTTCTTTTCCTCCTCTCCCTCTGCCTTTGCTTCTGCTTCTGCTGCCATTTTTCTTTCTTCTGTTTCTCTCTTCTTCTTTGCAGCAATTGCAGCCTTTAATCTTTCTTCAATTCCATTGACATAAGCAGGATCTTTCTTCTTCTCATTGAACTTGTGTAATTCTAACAACACATCGTTCCTAGATTCATTCAAATCACACAGTACCAGTGTGGTACAGATCTCTCCTCGTAAAAATTTCCTTCCATTAATCTCAAAACAACAAAAAAAATAAAAATTATCAATATGTAATTAATAAAAGCAATAGAAAGGAAAAAACTACAGAAACTATATAGATAATTACTGTTTTAAGATCATTGAATTTGAACGATTCACCAACAAAATGGAGCATGTGATACATGACAAAGATCCCACCGTCCAAATTGTCAACTTTTTCTTTTCTCCATTCCAACTCAACAACTTCAAAACCATAAGAAGGTAGCTGAGAACTCTTTGGATGATTTCTTTTGCTAAGAAAAGCACCCATTTGAACACATGACATAAAATATAAAATTTTAGAATACATCAAAATCAAAAAAGTTAAAACGGAAACAATGAATCAACAGTAACATAACAAAAAAAACAAACATAAACATACCATCTTTGAACACAATTCTTTTGTATAAACAAGAGCAGAATCAGTCCAGGTAATGTTGTCAAGATAATATACCAACTCTTTTGTATGATCAATAACATACAAAATGTAGTGATTCTCAATAAGAACAGGAAAATAGATCTGAAACAGCAAAATTAAAGAGATTTAAACAGAGCATATCATAAAGAGAACTCGTTTAAATTTATTACATTAAGTTTAGAGTAAAAATACCAGATCAACATCCATTATATTACATTCTGGATTCTCATAGCTAACCCAACCTTCCCATATGTCGTGCAAATCCTTAACAGCACTAGATATGTTACCTTTGCCAATATTGTCACAAACATGCAAGAATGAAAACTATTAAAGTATAAGATCTCAATAATATATATATATAAAGTAAATGTGTTAAGATATAAAAAAAGGAATGAAATAACTTACACTCTTCCTAACACTGAAGAAGAATTTCCGAGGACCAGTTGCCTGAAAACATGCTTTCTCATTCAAATACAGACAGAAGTAATCAATAACGCACCATCGAATCCTGAGTGGAGCAACAAGGGACACCATGCCTTCTCTTGGAATTAAAAAGTTCATTCCAAAATTAATAAGCCTCTCACTGAAACAATAAAAAATAAGATCAACATTAAAAAAAAATATAAGAAAAAAAACAGATAAAAAAATAATTATAATAAAAAAGGACACTTAACTTCTTATCCATTGAAACATCCTTCAACAAACAATAATCGAGAATTTCCAAATGTAACTTAGGCAAATTCTTGAAAATCCAAGCATTGCTCTTTACAAAAAGAGTTACAAAAGGCACCTGCACACCTACATGTCCACAGTCCAGAGAGCATAGAGATTTATTTGCTCTGAGTCGAGGAGGTTCATTTTGATTAATATGCCCGACATGAATATTTTGAGTAGGACCAGGAATGATAGCAGAAGGTCTAGAACCATTAAGGCCTTCATTAACTATTTTCCCATGACCATTGTCATCATCCTTAGGAATATTTTCATTGAAACCTTGTGCAGGTTCTTTTTCAGGAACAAAATCTTTGTTACCTTTTGTAGGTTCATAAAAACCGCGAAACATATCATGTACAGACTTCATTTTATTACACTCATCAATTAAACCATCTAAAATCTTCAAATAATGAGAATCAGAGAGTAGCAGTTCAGTTTGGGAAACTGAAACAAAATCATCAGAAGATAATGAAACACTTCTGCGAGAAGTAATCAGATCATTCAAGGTTTGAAAACCAGCTGACTGAACAAATAATAAAACATCCATATTTCTTTTAAACAAAAGAAGCGTTTCATGAACAACCTACAAACATATGAACAATGAAAAAAAAATGTTACAAATAAAAATAATAAAATAAGTAGGAAATCTAAATATATGCTAAAAGTGACCCTTTTAAATGCATAAACTGACCCTTTTAAATAAAAAAGTTACCCTTTTGTATGAATAAAGTAACCCTTTTAACTTAATATTGAAGATAACTTTAATGCAACTAAAGGGTAACTTCGGTGCAAATAAAGGGTAACTTTGGTACACAAAAAGGGTAACTTTTGTAACCAAAAGGGTAACTATTGTACACAAAACGGTAACTTTTGTACACAAAAAAGGGTAACTTTTGTACACAAAAAGGGTAACTTTTATACACAAAAAGGATAACTTTTGTAAACAAAAAGCAATAATAACTAAACATATAAGAAAACAGAACACTTACATCAGTTGAATTTTTTTTAATTTCTTCATCGGTCATAATACCTTATGGAAGCTCAAATGCAACAATGCGACCAGTGGTAACACTTGTAGAAGGACCCTTATCATAACCCAAAGTAGGAGCTGGCTTAAAAACAGTTCCCCTAAAATTAAGCTGTGACGCAGGATATGTAATAGTATCCAATTGTCCCTGCCCATAACCACCAGCTTTGATCTGTAACTTAATTCGCTTCTTAATCTTTACATCCGTCCAATGTTGAACTAAAGGAAGAGTACTACTTTCCTTTTCACCTTGAAAATTATGACGATGAAAATACATAATTTGCAAAGCCAGCAAACAACCACTAACATTTTGAGCATTTTCATCATCCTTATACTTTTGAACAACCTTCTTTAACTTTTTTAAAACATATGAACACCAATCAAAAGTTTTAATTTCATCAACTTTTTCAACAGCTTTCAGCAACTTCAATGAAACAGTCCTATTAGTAGTAGGAGCTAAAAAGCTATACATAGCTTGAAGAACAAAACACCTCTTAAATTCTTCCCCTCCATCAACCAAATCAACCATCCTAGACTCCAATTTTGACAAATGAAGAGGTTGCTTACCAGAAAGACCATAATCAGATCTCCATGCCTGAATGATACGTTTATCTACACTTTCATCTTCAGAATTTTTATTAAGTTCAGGAACACAAATATCACTCAAAGGCAAGCAAAACACATCGCATATATCATTTCTAGTAACAACAAATTCTTTACCAGTAGCGATGGTAAACATGCAGCTACCAGCATTGAAGTTTTCAACAAGCCAAGGTAGCATTTGACGATTAAGAGTTTTCAATTTAAGATGTAATAAACCTCCAAAACCAATTTCTTCAACATCCTGTTTTTGCTCAGGACTAAAGTTCTGCAGCAATATTTCCAATGAATAGGGTCTACATCTTGCAATGATTCTTCTTTGCTCCCTAAATAGAAAAAGAAAGAAAGAAAATGTAACTAAAACAATATAAAATAAAAATAAAATATAATTAAAAATGTAATAAAAAAATATGTATACTTACATAAAAGATTTAGAATCAGATTCAGAAAGCATTTCATAATCAGAATCTTCCACTGTATTAGCTTTCTTAGGTACAATTTTGGCCTTCTTAGGAACTATTTTGGCCTTCTCAGACTCTGGTATGTCACTCTCAGGAATTTTCCCAGCCTTTTTAGATACTGCTTTGCTCTTCTCAGGAGCTATCTGGGTCTTTTTTGGTACTGGTTTAGGCTTAGCAGGCTCTTTAGGCTTTCCTTTTCCTTTTGTAGGCTTTTTATAACTATAAACACCTATTGAACCACCTTTATTTAATTATTAAAGTAATATAAATACAAATTCAGAAATTACTCATGGAAAAATATAGAATAATGTGCACAAATGACACTTTTAAATGCATAAAGTGACCCTTTTAACAGCACAAAGTAACCCTTTTAACAGCACAAAGTGACCCTTTTAACATCACAAAGTGACCCTTTTAACAGTATAAAGTGACCCTTTTAACAGCATAAAGTGACCCTTTTAACAGCATAAAGTGACCCTTTTATATGCAAAAACTGACCCTTTTAACTGAAAA